AACTCGGGAATTCGCGGCACTGCTAGTGTTCCATATCGACGGTTAGAAATGTTAATCTTCAGCCAGGATATGTCAGTATATAGTAAGAAAGCATAAATCATTCTCTTTTACACTATAGCGAATATAAGAGCAAAAAAACCCCAATTCGCCTACATTAAATGTAGTGCAACCAACAAATTTTTAGTAATTTGGTATAGCAAGTGAAAGAGTGCTTAAAGAGAATTTCTTGAAACAATCCGTAAGCTTCAAAGCATACACAAATAATAAAGTGAATCCAATTAATAATTCTTGCTCACCCTCATCATACTGCCACGATCCATAACGCCCATTTGATAGGAATAGGGAGGTTGTTTCTCGAAAGATCGTTGATTTGCTTGTGCCCAAGTAGGTGCCTCAAAGTGCATGGAAAGTAATTTTGTTGTTATTTTTCTTTTCTGGATCCAAAATTATTGTGAAATTTTACAAATCTTAAAATTAGGCTGACTCACAGAGTTCAATATATCTGGATCGGCACTTGGATACAGATATCCAGTCTCAAACGACTGGGCCCTTCGTTGCATAACATCTCCAGGACCCACCTGTAGGAAAAATTTTGCGGACAGCTTCGAAGCTACAAAGACCGGGATACCTCCATATAGCTGATGTAATTAGGATATCTCCTATTATCAGTGTAGACATTACTCTGGATTAAACTAGCGAACAAAAAATCCGGCCTGCAATTGAATAAATAAACAGGAAAAGAAAACACTTGTGAGACAGAATTTACATACGGTTTGGTTTTCGATGTCTTCGATACCACCACACACTTTCCACTATTATCAACGTTGTGATCCAGCCCGAACAAGACGGCTACTCGATGTATCAGCATGCGGTTATATGACGAAACTGGAGGGAGTTTTAACGATTGTTCCCTAAAAGTTGAAAGATATACTGAGTAGAAAATTTAAAATTTGAGAATTCTGAAAAAAAAAAAAGCATTTCGTTTCAATGGACGAATCAAAAGAGGTGACAAAACACGCGCCGCTCCGCGCGGCAACGCGTTACGTACCCGATAGATTCTGAGTTTGCCATATTTACACGCAAGAAAATGTGGTTTCCTTTGCCCTCAAATCATCTCATGCGTGGTGACATAGAAAATTTGCGGATATCGGAATTTTGAATTCAGAAGGTTCTCTGCGCACACGCGGCATATTGGCACTGCGCAATCAAATTCCAACCAGAACAGGTTATTTTTCTGTTGCTCTACTCAAAAAAAAGATATAAAGGAATATAACGTATAAAGGAGAAAATAAAGCAATAGGACATAGTGGAAAAGGAAATGCGATGACTGACACCACGCCGTTTTCGCGTAAGACGTCATATGAGACCGTGTTCTTATCAAAATAATGGCTCAGTGCACTACCGGACGTGCACGCGGTCCCAGGCAGTAGACGGCGTGTGCAAACGGTCGTGCCTGGGTTTCAGATAGAGTTATATAATGGGCGATGAAGAATGTGGCATATGGCAGATGCAAAAACTATTTCGACTTGGCAACTTACGAGCTAACGACGGAATAGCCACAACATTATACAATAAAATACGACCTACTCTTCTATTGTTTGTGT